TAAGTCCTAAAGCCAGTAAAGACAATGTGGACTGAATGCCTGCAAATGACTTCATAAAAGTAAAGAAAAAATAAACAATGTATCTGTATACTATTAGGATATCAAGTCTTGTTTGATCGTTTGAAGGTTCACAGCTGACTTTTCAGGATAAAACTCAGACCAACCTTGGAAAATGATCTGTCTCTTTTGCTTTAGGAAGGGCCTTCTAGCTTGACGGCAGTGGGCAGAAGAGGCCTGCCCTGTTTTGTAGTCTTTCTCTTGCTATATCTTCTGGGCATTCCTTGTAACTGCCTGTTATTTGTGATGAGTTTGGTTCACTCGGCAGAGGCTGTGTCTCTTTACAACATGACTAAGAAGAGCAAGGTAGAGGATGAGGAGTACATTGCAAAGGAAACCTGGCCCCTGGAAACAGTCTCCACCAGGGATATTTCTGGGTTTCATGGGCCCTAAAATTCACAAAATTTGAAGTAACCTATTAAAGAAAAGCAATACAAAATTGCAGATGCAAAATTAGAAACAACATTTTGGAAGGCACCTAGTAAGGTGAATGTTTGTGTGTGTGTTTTATTTTGTTTCTGGTTTTTGTTTTGTAAATAATCTCTGTGCCCTACGTAGGGCTTGAACTCAAAATTCTGAGATTAGGAGTCACATGATCTCCCAGCTGAGCCAGCCAAGTGCCCCGAAGGGACTGGTCTTGACAAACCAATCTCATTAGCTTCATGGTAAATCTACCTCTAGTGTTTGCCTTAACTCCTGGCATAAAACTGTACATACCAATTATTACTTTGGTGCTTCTTTTTTTAAAAATTTTTTAACGTTTATTTATTTCTGAGAGACAGAGAGAGATAGAGCATGGTTGGGGTAGGGGCAGAGAGAGAGGAAGACACAGAATCCGAAGCAGGCTCCAGCCTCTGAGCTGTCAGCACAGAGCCCTACACGGGGCTTGAACCCACAGACCGCAAGATCATGACCTGAGCCAAAGTCAGACACTTATCCGACTGAGCCACCCAGGTGTCTCTACTTTGGTGTTTCTTGACTTGTTATATGAAACATAATATCATATAATATATAATATTTATGGCAGCTCCTCAACACATTGTAGATGTGTACAGGCCTTCAACCTGGTTAAATGGTAAAGTGGCTCTGAGGCCATTTAATTACACTTGACTCAGCAGTCAGAAACCAAAACAAATCTAGCAAAACAAAACAACACTACATAGCACCTAAGTGCAACTTCTAACTGCCAGTGTCCAATGCTCGCCACTTCCTGCTGTATTCAATTAATATCCGCTGAATATTTTCTCTGCCCCCTCATTCTTCCTCCAGTGGATCTTTTTATTTATTTTTTATTTTCTATTTTTTTATCCTCTGTATTTTATTTATTTTTTTATCCTCTGTATTTTATTTTTTTTTATTTTTTTATCCTCTGTATTTTATTCTATTTTATTTTATTTTTAATTTTTTTATCCTCTGTATTTTATTTTTATTTTTTTATCCTCTGTATTTTATTTTATTTTATTTTTTTATTTTTTTATCCTCTGTATTTTATTTTATTTTTTTTATCCTCTGTATTTTTTTTTTTACAAATAGTTTATTGTCAAATTAGTTTCCACATAATACTCAGTGCTCATCCCCACAAGTGCCCTCCTCCATGCCCATCCCTCCTCCCCCCAACATCCATCAGTCCTCAGTTTTTGTCAGCATTCAAGAGTCTCTCATGGTTTGCCTCTCTCCCTTTCCCCCACCATTTCTGCCCTTCTTCTCCCCCTTGTTCCTCCGTCAAGTTCCTCCTAATCCTCCTATACGTGCAAACATATGATATTTGTCCTTCTCTGCCTGACTTATTTCGCTCAGCATAACACCCTCAAGGTCCATCCATGTTGCTACACATCCAGTGGATCTTTTTAAATAGCCAGTCTTCTCTCTAGCAAAGCTGTTTTCCTTAAAGTCTGATAAGCACATGTGGCTTGGGCCCATACGTACTTTCCTGCCTTTTCTGATATGGGAGAATCTCCTCTTTTCTCTTTCAACATCTTTCGGTGGTACTTTGCAGTGGTTCTCTGCATGTAGTCCATAGACCCAGGAGTCCCTGGGACCCTACCAGAGGTTAACACCAAAATATCTGCATTGTCACTGTGCTGACATTTGTACTAATTACTCGAAAGCTGTGATAGATAAAACTTGGAATGAGGGCAGCATGGCTGATCACTGCTGTCAACGGCCAGGCACTTAGAATAAAAGGAAAGGAATGGAGAAAAGGAGATTCCACATTAAGACTGTCTTATTGCTGTTACTAAATATTGACCTCTGAGTACTCATTTTTTTATTATCCCCTGTTACTAAATGGGATGAATGCATAAGACACTTTAGAGGTTATTAGGGGATGGATAGATAGATGATAGATAGATAGATAGGCAGACAAATGGAATTCAGGCAGGCATGAGAGGGCCCACACCCAAGTAGAAGCTTTAAGAAACATAATGATACATAGAATATGTGAAGGAATAAACTATAAAAGCTATTAGAACTAATGAAGGAGTTCGAGAATGCTCTAGATTATATAAGCTCAGTATGCAAAGACTGTATTTCTCTACATTGGGAGTCTCTACATTGGCAGTGATATGAACATTGTGAAAATAAAATTTGGGGGGGGGAACTATACTTGAAATACCATCAAAAATAACAAAATAGTTTGGTATATATTTAATAAAAGTGTGAGACTTATACCCTGAAATCGACATTTTAAGCAATAAATAAATAAAATGTAAATAAATGAAAAGCTCTCCAATGGTCCTTGATCAAAGACTTCATACTGTCAAGATATCATTACTACTCAAATTTATTTCTATATTCAACACAATGCTTACCAAAATCCAAGCTTGGTTTTTTTGTGGAAATCAATGAGCCAATTCTAAAATCCTTATGGAAAAGCAAGGAACTCAGAATGACCTAAAACAATCTGAAAAAGAAAAGAAGCAAGTTGTAGGATTCTCACTTTGTGAATGAAACCAAGTTAGTTAGTCATGAAACCATGAAAACTTGGTTTCTTACATGCAGCTAAACTAAAAGCACAATAGGCCAACCAATCAACTGTATGATGTCGAAATTAAAAATTAGTAAAAAAAAAAATCCAGAAAGTGAGTAGACAACCCACAGTTAAAAGAAAATATTTGAAAACTATGTATCTGATAAGAGATTTGCTTCTGGAATATATAAAGAACTCTTATAGCTCATAAAGAAAAGAACAAATGGCCATGCAAAATAATGTAAAGAAGACTTGACATTCCTCTAAGAAATTTTTTAAAAAGCTAATAAACATCTGAAAGATGTTCAAATCATTAGGCACCGAGGAAATGTAAATCAAAATCATGTGATAACATTTTATGCCCACCAGGGTGACTATAATAAAAAAGATAGATCATGTATGTCAACTATACTTCAATTAAAGAAAAAAAAATCTGACCATAAAAAGTGTTCACAAGAATGTAGAGAAACTGGAATGTCTATATGTTAGTAATGGAATTGTAAAATTGTGTAGCCACTTTAGAAAGAATTTTGCAATTCTTTAAAATGTTAAACAGAGTTTTCTTTAAAATGTTAAACAGAGTTACCATATAACCCAGTAATCCCATATCTAGTTATATACCCAGGAGAAATAAAAGTATAGATCTACCCAAAAACATGGGTACAAGTTTTCACAGCAGGCTGAGTCATAATAGTAGCAAAGTGGACATAAGCCAACTGTCTATCAATTGATGAATGATTAAGTAAAATGTGATATATGCATTGGATAACATACTATAAAACTGGAATGGAGTGCTGATATGTGCTACAACATGGATGGACCTTGAAAACACGTTAAGTGAAAGACACCAGATGCGAAAGACCATTTGTAACACGGTTCTGTTTATACAAAATGTCCAGAATGGTCAGATGGGTAAAGTCAGAAAGTGGATTGTCTACATCAGGGCTGGGGTGAGGAGAATGGATGGTGCCTGCTGATGGAGACAGGGTTTCTTTCTAGGAGGGTGAAAATGTTCAAAACTTAGATTACAGTTGCACAGCCCTGAGAATATGCTAACACATACTACAGTGTACAATTTAAGAAGGTAAATTGTATGGTATATGGATTATATTTCAATGAAGCTATTAAAAAAAAGGAGCGCTGAGATGTTCTGGCAGATCACTGCTTTAAAATCCTGGGTGTCCCATTCTCTTTTGGCTGCCTGTACTTCTCTTGAGTACGTGTCTCCCTGCGTATCTACAGTGTGTAGAGAAATCTACACTATTTATCATTCAATCATATGTTCATTTAACAGTTACCAAGTATCTATTACATGCTAAGTGCTGCTCTACCCATGGGACTGAGACCAACAGTGTATAATAAATACAAAATTAAATAATCCCAATCCCTATTCTCACTAAACCTATAATGTACTGAGGAGAAGGGGGTTGTAAAGTTCCATAGTCATATATATGTATATATATGTATACATATATATATATATATTTTAATGTTTATTTATTTTTGAAAGAGAGAAGTAGACTGAAAGCAGAGGGAGGGGCAAAGAGAGAGGGAGATACAGAATCAGAAGCAGGCTCCAGGCCCTGAGCTGTCAGCACAGAGCCCGACATGAGGCTCAAACCCACAAACTGCGAGATCATGACCTGAGCTGAAGGTCCGACCTGAGCTTGGACGCTTAACCGACTGAGCCACCCAGGTGCCCCATATATATATTTTTTTTTGCCTTCATTCACTATTTCCCTTTTGTTTTTCCCAAATGTAGAAGTCATTGACTACCTAATTTATACCTATGGACATGACACTTTGCCTAGTACTGAGCACTCTGTACACTAAAAAAAGAAAAAAAGCCTGCTGACTAGTTGGTAAGAATCATGAACATATTCTGAATGATATCAATTTCTAAAGAAGAGTAGGAAGTATTTCAGTTACGTGTGCATTTGCTTCAGAATTGGTAATATTGGAAAACAAAAAACAGGGAGGACCTCCTTCATTGGGCTCTGGAGACATTTCAACGTGGGATGAGCAGTGTCCTTGCGGTGACCTCCATGGATCATGTAGCAACTGCCATCACTGGGGTTCTGAACATCCCACTCACAGTAAGTGTTCTCTAGGGTTCCATTTCCTCAAAGCTCTTTGCACCCCATCCTAAACAGTAATCAAAAAGTGACCCTGTAAATCTCAGGCTTCCCGCATTATTGTGCATATCCTGATTCCCTGGGCGAGACTCCTGGGATTTGCCTCTCTCCATTCAGGCTATAAAACTGTAAAGATTTGAGCTAATTGAGTTGCATCTTTTGCTGGTGCTAGGATCTCCAGTAGGTTTCCTGATCACTGAGCCCGATACCTCAGGGGCAGAACTGGGGACCGCACATTTGATCTAACATGCCAAAGAGAAACTGGTATTAGAGTGCCTGAAATATTTGCATTCACCAAATACAGGATGCAATTAACTTGCAATTTTGCAAGTCTTTTTTAAATTATTATTCTTTCTAAATGAGGTAAGCAGAAAGGATGTCTGAACTATTGGGATGGGGTCTAAGTAGAGAAGTGGGGGTGGTTATGGAGATGTAATCATACCCCTGGCGTGAAGTCTAAGCGTATAACCAATGCCTGCGAAGCCCCAGGGAGGTGGCTGTCTCATTATAACCATACCCCCTGGAGTTGTTTTATAGTCTGCATAAAACTTTGTTCAGGAAAAGAAGGGAGGGTGTCATTTTTAGTTCAGAAGGGAGATGAAGCTGACAGCCGAGATTCTGCCATCAACCTGATCATCTTGTTAAATAACAGCGTGGAATTTTCCTTCTCAACTAAAAACTCCATATTGGAATATTCTCTTTCAGCAAAAGCAGTAGTGAAATTAGGCTTAAGGTCATGGAATTTATTGGGCGAGCCATCTGCGATCATCATTGAATGCCTATGAAGTCACAGTCCTGTGCTAGGCCCCTTCAGTGTGGGATGCAAACAAATAACAAAGCAAATACTTCCCCTGGGAGAGATTTATTACCTCATAGGAGAGACATGCTATAGTCAAATAAAAATCCTGAGCATTTTTACATATATGGTAACAACAATTACCACACGACATTTGGCGATCATGAAACTTAGACTGGAAACACCAACTGATTTGCTCAAAGTCCCTAGTTTAGTAAATAACGGTGTCTAAACTAGAAACTAAACCTCTGGTTGTTTAAAAGAGATTGTTTTTCCCACATCCATGCTTTCATGTGTTTCAAACAAATGAAATCCAGGCCAGGATGACGAACCCCCAAATTCCACTAGGTGCCTGCTACTGTGTCCGGTCCCTGTGGGGAGCAGACCACACACAAGAATCCTCCAAGCAAATGAATGTTCTTGAATTTCCACTTCTTAATTTTCATGTAGGGCTTTGACCCCCATCCCATGTGACCTTTCGATGTGATCTAGGCAGGGCCTTATGGAATACCAGAAAACTTTTGTTTTTATTGCTTAAAGCCTAGATTTAAAAATCATATAAGCAGCCTGAGCCTATCCCCTGTCCCTGGGCTGTGCCTTTATTCCAAACAAGGAGCGAGGAAGATCACACTTCTCCCTGTGGCAGACTCTCCCTCGATGCATGTGAAGAATGGGAAGGAGGAAAATGAGAGATGCAAAACACAGCATGAGAGTCAGAGGGAGGATGTACAGCACTGCTGGTCCCAATGAAAGATCAGCCCCCTGGTATTTCTTTAGTACGAAAATCCATGTCTTCTCTTTCTGCAAACAGAGGTCTTCCTTCTAATATTTGAGTTTTAAACCCAAATAAATCTGCCAGGGATTTTTTGTTTCTTCTTTCTTTTGTTTTGTTTTGTTTCTTTAAACAAAAATCCCATCTGATTGCATTAGGCAGCAGGGTAAACAGGGGCTAATCTATAGATCTTTCATCCAGTTAATGGATTCTAGCTGCAGAACAAAGAAAGTGTTACCAATCAGATTTGGTGTATTAGCAGCAATCATTCATTCCTGTATTTGAGCTGTCAACCCCGGCTCATGGAGGATGGAGCCAGAAATTAGTGGGTGGCCTAGAAGTCTGGACCACCAGGAACACACAAGTGACACTTTCAGAGGCTAGTTCATTGTTAACGTAGGAAAAAAGTTATGGCCAAGGGTTGGACACTAGAAGAGTAACTGGGGAATGTCAAGACCGAAAAAGCAAAATCACACAGAGAGAGACAGAGATGGAAAAGGCAAGTCTGCCTAAAAGGCTAACAGGGGTCAGCGTGCCTGGGTGGTTCAGTCAGTTTAACATCCATTTCTTGACTTGGGCTCAGATCATGATCTCACGGTTAGTGGGTTCAAGCCCTGTGTTGGTTGGGCTCTGTGCTGACAGTGGGCATCCTGCTTGGGATTCTCTCTCCTCTCCTCTCTCTCTGTCTCTCTCTCCCCGTCTCTGTTTTTGCCCCTCCCCCTCTCTTAAACTAAGTGAACTTTAGGGAAAAAAACTATATATTTTTAAAAAGCTAACAGGGGTTTAAAAACAAAACACCAAAAGCACATTGTATCTTTTTAATTCAGTCACTCATTTTATTTTATCTTATTTTTTAGTTTGCCATATAACCTATACACTTTTTTTTTTACAAATAGTTTATTGTCAAACTGGTTTCCATATAACACCCAGTGCTCATCCCCACAAGTGCCCTCCTCCATGCCCATCTCCCTCCTCCCCCCCACATCCATCAGTCCTCAGTTTGTTTCTCAGCATTCACTCATTTTAAAAGGCAGAATTCTCTTCTTCCAGCAACTGACACGTTTTGTATCCTTAGTTTTTGCTGCTCTTTCTGCTGTCATATATAAGCAGAAAGGACCTGTCGGGGTGGATTTTATTTTAAGCACACAAATTTAATTGGATCGAAAGCCAAGATGTTTAAAGGAGAAAAGGGCTTTTTCTACTTTCCCCATTTAGCCCACCTGATTTTTCCTTTCCAATGCAAGTTTGTAGGTTCTTTGGATAAAAGAGATGTGGGGCACCTGGGTGGCTCAGTCAGTTGAGCATTTGACTTCTGCTGAGGTCATGATCTCATGGTTCCTGGGTTCAGGCCCCACATGGGGCTTTGTGCTGATGGCAGGGAGCCTGCTTCAGATTCTCTGTCTCCACCACTCCCCTGCTTGCATGCACACACCTTCTCTCTCTCTCAAAAATAAATAAACATTTAAAACATTATATTCAAAAAGGATAGGGGCGCCTGGGTGGCTTAGTCGGTTAAGCGTCCGACTTTCACTTAGGTCATGATCTCACGGTTCGTGGGTTTGAGCCCCGCGTCGGGCTCTGTGCTGACTGCCAGTTCGGAGCCTGGAGCCTGTTTCAGTCTGTGACTCCCTCTCTCTCTGACCCTCCCCTGTTCACGCTGTCTGTCTCTCTCTCTCCTAGAAATAAATAAAACATTTAAAAAAAAAAAGGATATAACATTTTATCTCTTCCTCCCATTCCTCCCCTCTTGGGGAGATGCCTCAAACAATAACAAAGCCTATCATGTGGGTAGTTGAAATGTACAAGTACTCCATTTGGCAAAACTACACAGATGTTTTACCTTTTCAGGAATAAGAAAGTCTTTCAATTTCTGTTACATACACAAGGAAGCAGTTTACCACTTGGCCAGACTCACACATACACAGCTATGCATCTATTCAAGGATCAGGAGTTAGTGCAGACAGATAAGGAATCCATTCTGCCAAGGCTTGACTTCTAAACACATAGTACCGACTTAGGATTTTCCATCTTCACTATGGTGCAGAAGTAATAGCATCAGTAGAAACTGTACTCTAAATTCTCAATTTGCATCTTCTACTGGGCTAGTGATGGCTTCTTGCAATGTTTGCGGTAGCAAAATGTAAGCAACAGATACACCTACAACACTCTTTCCCATAAACGATTCTGATTTTCACTTTCAGTTCCACACTCAATAAATTACATGAGATATTCAACTGTATTTAAAAATAGGCTTTGTGTGAGATGATTTTGTCCAACTGTAGGCTAATGTAAAGTGTGCTACGAGTGTTTAAGGTAGGCTAAGTTAGATACATTCAATGCATTTTCAACTTATATTTTCAGCTGTGGTGGGTTTATGGGATGTGACCTCATCATACGTTGAGGAAGATCTATAACAGGATAGTTTTGCAAAATTTGCTAGGCATCGTTTTGTTTAATTCCTTTTCATCTTGTGCAGAAATTATCAAAGCATCTTCCTTGGTCATATTACATAGTGTAAGGATTCAGTGTAAGGTACTAGACTAATGATGTTTCCCTTTACTCTTTGCAGTGATCTCACATGGCCCTGAGACACAGTAAATAAGCTGACAGTGGTCAGAACTCTAGGATTTGATAAAACCTAGGTCAGACGTAAAATTAAGGTAATCGACACTCAAAGTGCAGATTCTGATGACAGCAAAGCAGAAGTGGAGAGAACTAAGCCTTCTAGATACCTTTGCATGAAGGGGTCTCTGAATCTTTCTTTCCTATTTAGCAATAAGTCATATTGGCCACTTCCTTTTATGTTCTGGACTTTCCATACCCAGCCTATTTTTTTTTTAACTTTACCTTTAAGGATTTTTGTTTGTGAATGAATTGTTGAAAAGCAATTCTCTGGGTCGAGCACAAAGTATCCCATGAGTAAGGAAACCACTGGCTCATTGAAAGCTTCAGGTGAACCAGGTCGAAATAATCAAGAGCACAGCAGGATGTGGGCAAGTAGGGGCCAGAAGTGACTAATGAGGCACATAAAGGAGGTAGAGATGGGCCTCTTGAGTGAGTGGGGAGAATGGGCTCTAAGGTCATGGAGAGGGAGAAAATGATGATAAGATAGGAAAGTGCACTCAGGGATCTTCCTTGGGAAGAAAATTGTAGAAACAAAGACAAAAATGTTCTACTGCAGTGTGTGGTTCAGAAAATCAGGCGAGGAAAAGAGACTTGTCAAGTTGGGTTCTAAAAATGTTAGTATCAGGGCAGATCTTATCCTGAGACCTAAAGATGCAGAGTGATTTATCAGGTGACCTGTGTCTTTGCCAGAAAGTAGATGGAAAGAGTCCATCTCATCATCTGAAAATATTTTGTGGAGAATCTGTCTTCCTTTAAAGAAGC